TTCATTCCGAAATCCCCCTCTTATTTCGACGACACTGCGTTTATGTAACAGGTATTAGTAACAAATTATTGATGTATTTTGTAATTCATATTTCATTGACGTAGAATACAATATTATAGCGAAAAAAACCATGATTTACTACGGTTCAAAAGTGTAATCAATATTTGGTCATGTATAGTCGTTTGATTACTAATTTCTTATGAATTATAATATATCTTATGAAATATGACTATTGAATATATTATTACAATTTATAAATCTAAATAATGTGAAAATAAAATAAAAACGAAATAATATAACCATTTGAAATAATAATATTTATAATATTTTTTTTTCAATAATACTATATTGTGTACTATGTATCTGGACATAATATGCATTTTTTTCATAAAATATTTAAAATTATATTGATGCGTGATAAAATAAAAATGTGGTTAATCAATAGTTTTATTATGGTCTAAAAATCACAAACTTAAGGTTTACTAATATAGTAATAATATTATACTTTACCTATAAAGGTTACATTTTTGACTGCTCAGTATCAAAATGTGTAGTTATAAACCTATAAAAACGGTTTCTACAGTGTAACTTTTTAGATAGGTATAATAATAATTATTATTTTGTTATTATAAGTATTATACCTATTACCTATACCACATAGTACATACGTAGTTAATTACGAGTTTATGACTCTAAGACGAAAAATCTAAAATCATAAAATCGATTAATAAAAAAGCCTAATTTATTGACTAATCGGTGAATTGATGACTGCGATATCGTATATTACGTATATCCTGTATATGTGTCATTTTTTTACATGCACTTGTATTTTGAAAAAACTTGTTATAAACAATGAAGTATCGAATTCTGCTTAAAATCATTTTTGACCACAGTATTTGAGAATCAATAGCAGGATGAAAGTGTGGCGCCCAGGAGCAACTCAATTAAATTATATTTTGTATTATATCAACTATAAATTATAAGCGTAATTGTTGTTACATGCGTAAATGCGTAATGCACGAGCACGACTGTCACGTCATATAATTTAAACTAATTACAAATAATAAAATAATTTATAAGTAGGTACCTATGCTATTATGTTATTAACTGTAATATTATTTTATTCATTTTCGCATAATGTTTAATATACAATAAAATAACTGCATAAAGGGAATAAAATGTTTTCTTTTTTGTATGATGAATTTAATCGTCAATTAATATAGACCATTAATTATTATTGTTGTACTTTGCGGTCTTTAACTTTGTCTGCCATCGTATACAACGACCTGTTAGCCTAATTTGTATGATTGTTAGCAAAAAGAAAATAGTAACTTTCAACTAGGATCTATGTAAAAACATAAAATGAACGCATAACTGGTGCCTGTTGTTATATTATATTATTATACATTGTATACTTCCTGGGTATAATATAGTCATTACATTATTATACGAACACTTCTATACGGTCTAAAGGAGCGGCCCCCTGATCGTATTCCCCTACCTATGACTGCCCCGCTAGTAATATAATAATATATGAATGTAATATTGTAATAATATTAATTTATATTTTATACAATATGAACATTACCGACAACTGTTTGCTTGTAAATTTCATAAATCACAATCAACTCGAAAGGCAAACCTCAAATTTTAATTGTTTTAACTTTTATAAGTCTTATTAATTATACGAATACCCACGCGTTTTTATAATATATTACCATATAGAAATATAGAATAATTTATACGGAGAATAATTTTTAAGGAGTATACACTGTGCTATAACGGCATGCGTAACCCATATTAATATCAAATACATTTTTTTATTGAAAACACAAATTATTTGTTTTTATAAATAATATAATATCTAGATTTTGAACGAAATTCCCCAAGGATTTGATCTATCTACTTCTGACTCTAGGTTAGATATAGGTATCTTCCAAGCTTTTAAGTACAATTAATAGTTAATGATATCATTTTTACAAATTAAAAAATATAATTTTCAGATAATAGCGATTTCAGTATTGCACTATTGGGTTATAACTTCAGACACTCTCGTAAGGCACTCATTATTATTTGATTTATTTGATTAATTATAAACAATATATATCAACATTAAATGTAAATAAAACTATAAAATCATCTATGAAGGATTATGTTTGTACAATTAACTAACAAAGAAATTGTTTGTTTTTTAAACTATTTAACAACCAACCTAGTAAAATTAGAATGAAGGAATAAGGAATTAATAGCTGCGGGTGGGCCGCTCAACCATGTGAAATCGAGTCAGTTAGACCACGACTACATGACCCCTCAGACCTCGACTACTTCATTGATCTGGACTCGGAATTTGAGCAGCCAGCCTTTCTGGTTCTGCCCGTGGACATAACTTAGAAAATAGGTAACACAATACTTATTAGTTACTTCATATAAACGTTATGATTGGTCTTATATTTTAATATTATAACAATTAATAATTATATTATTGGACTTTGTCGGTACATAAAAATGTTTTCAAAAAAACTGAATGTACAATTTTTTGAAATACAGCTCACAAAAATATTATTATTGAGGTTTCTGGGGTAAAAAAACATCATCGAGGTCTGAGAGAGGAAAACGGGTTCTTTAAATTTAGTCTAATGGAGGAAAGAGCAGGATAATTCATTATAATATAATATGACGATAATCACATGAAGCGCCATCCACTTGAGGAGGGTACCGTAGGAAGTAGGCACTATATATGATTGATCCCCAATTTGAATGAATGGTTGTGATTTGGTAGCAAACTATGGTCAGTAAGTAGTCTATTTAACCTAGTGTATGGTACAATCACAGCGTGACTTATCTTTAAGAACTGAAATCATTTTATAAGTTAGTAAAAAATAACAATATTTAAAAATCCTGCAAAAGAACACAGATTATATTGTCACCAAATTTGGCAATAATTCTGTCTTGAAAGATAAAAGGATATAATTTAACTTGAACGTGACGTAAACTTTTGGTAACTTTGCGATGTTACACTCCAAAGGAGACGACAACCGAGGATATGACATTCTCAATTTTTTTATTCTATTTCAATAATTCGTCATCAAATATATTTATTTTTATTATTTTGTTATTAAGAAAAAATATAATCTGTGGCTGCTATGGCCTTTGAACGTAATATTACATAATATAGTGTAGATATTAAGACATATTATGGATTGCAAAACAGCTAGTAATGGTAAATAAATAAAAAATTTTATTTTTTGTGTTGAGTATATAGTATAAGTGAGGTAATACAAAATAAAATATGGAAACAAATATAAATTAATATTCTTAAGAATATATAAATAATTTATATATTAGAATATATCTTGCTTAAAAATTAAAATATCGGAAATATCATAGAGAACCATAGACAATATTTTAAAAGTTTCATAATAGCCCATAGGTCAATTCACTCCATAATAATATCAAAAGTAACAGCACACTATTCAAGCTAGTGAACGAAAATTAGAGACGGAAACAATTTAACAATAAACTCATAATGGGTATAACGCCCTCTTAATGTATTATATGGAAGTCAAACTGTATTATACATGTGTACAATTAAAATGAATATTTTAACCATGGGATTATCAACCATCGTACATTTGCAATACGAGATAAAAAATAATAACAATCTATATTATGTTCCTTTTGACGACTCTCATTTTGGTAGTCAAAGCCCTATTAGTAAAGATGTCTTATTATTGCACAAGCCTCAAATACAACATAAATGATTTTTATTTTATCAATTTTTTTCAGTATATAAAAATGTTGTACTTAGTGCCTTTTCATAGTTACATTCTTCTTTAATAATTGCCATACTTACATTTAATGTTTATTTTTATTGCTATACTACTCGTATATTTAACATATTTTGTTATATTGTTTTGTTTATTGTATTGATAATATTAATTTATGAAATTTTTGAATTGAGCTCAACTCATCCGTATTCGTGCTTAATGCTTATAGGGCGAGTTTTCAATTTTTGTAAACTTTTTTTTAATAATATAATAATATATACATTTTGTTGTTGCAATAAACTATTATATTATTATTAGGTATAAATTTCAACTGTCAATCCTCCTATAGCGGTAGACGGTGATCATATTATTAACATTGATGATGATTGATTACAAACGTTTGTTATTTTAATATATAATCATCAGATATTCAGATAAAATTAAATTATATTGTACTCTACGTCTCTACACCTATATATCACGAAAATTTATGAATTTAATTTTAAAAACAAAATCAGAGGGGGAAGAACTAGCAAGTAGCAACCCCGTGGTTGAGGTTACGCCGCTGGTAAAATTTAACATGCATATAAATATTAAATATAATATAATAATATGTATAACTATCCGCTGGCCACTGCATGGAAATGACAATAAATTGACAACACGAAGCGATTTTGTAAAAGGGTCAAGCGTGTCACGCGACGGTCTCGCCCTATTGTCGCTGAAAACCGTGATGTGTGTGTGTGTCTAAGGGATGGCGAGGGTAGTTTCTTTGTGACTTTATTTCAATTTCTCGAATTTCTTAACATACAAGGACGAATAATCTGCGTTAGGGCACCAATGGGTGATGAGGAGAAACATGGTCGATACTCGTTCCCCGACACGACGCCGCTGAAAAGATAATCAAGGAGACTATTCCATTCTCTCAAGTAGTCGAGTAGTCTGGACATGGACGGCGCCACAATAACAATTCTGAGCCATAATAATGATACGTTACCAGTTACCGGGTATCGTGTCTCAGCGTCGTCGTGTTTACGTTTACATAATATTATTATTATTATCCGCGGTCACGCGACGCGGCCCCAGCGCAAGGTTGTCGACCCCTTCCCGTTGAGCAACATAACCACGGTTAGGCGCGACAACCACCCGCACCCTACGGCCTACGCATGCGCTCGATCGCACGCACGCGACGTCGGCCACACGGACGGGGGACAATAACACACTACTACACAGTACACACCTCCATCACCGCCTCCGCCACCTGGCGCCGACGATTCCGACTTCTGAGTCCTAGTTCAGTGTTCACAGCGTTGTCGAGAGACGTTATTTGTATGACGCTCTGTTTCTGTTTTTTTCGTACGAAATTTCGCGCGCCATTTTTCCTGAACCATTTTATTTTTCTATGACGCCATAAAGTCGATTGCATTATGGGAACTCTGGACAAACACTGCACCGGCTACAAAATCGACGATGTGTTCAAGTCTAATGCCCTGGTAGACATAAGGGCTTGCAACAAGCCCGTCATCAAGGTAAAGAATCACGAATGACTATAAAATGACTGGCATTAGTTTTGATTAGTTCACTATTTGTCGTTTTGCTCACTGGATTTGGAATGTTTTATTTCGACAAACAAAACGAAAACGACGACAGACTGACAGAGGCAAGCTCCTTAGTACTTAGGAAGTCGTTAATGTAACGCGCACTTAGCTACTCGAAAGGTTAACTTGTTTCAGGTCTCTGCACGTTCAAACCGATAACAATAATATTATTGTTGTTATTGCTTAAATATTATGCTATATGTGCTCGAAAATAATTTATTCTTAGAGACCACTGTCTGATATTGTTTCGACGTAGGCTAATACTTCATAATAAACTGTATAACGTATGATACACGATAGTTGGTTACTTAGGTCTTCATCTTAGAAGTACCTATAATATTTAGTTAGTTATAAAGTGCATTTTGTAGCGTGTAAATATTTGGTGAGAGAGAAAGGGCAACGGTTGTATGTGTTCAATTATGTTCTTGCATTATTCATGAATATTTTTTTTTCATGCGTCGAGTACCTACCATTATTTTTTATCTTACTGCGAATGTTATTATATTGTTACATATTATCGTCATAATAATTGTAGTTCATTCAGAAAATTAGAAGAGAGTGTAGATTAGAAGCTATTACTAGTTGACTTGATGATTTTTTTATTTTTCTCCATATGAATAGTGTGATTACATACAGTAGGTAATCCTTTGGCGTAGAATATAGAAGTAATATTATTATTTTTTTGTTTTTTTTTTCAGTTTGTGTGCTTAAATTTTTCCTAGTGTTTTGTTTTTGAAATGCATGAATTCCAGATATTATTTTAACAGCAAACTATCAACATGACAAATAATACGGTACAATTTAATATAATTTAAAATAATATTATGTTATTAATTTTATTTCAAATATTTTATTATACAAATATAATGTTAATGTACCTATTATATTTAATAGTCATTATTCCGTGGAGTACGTAGTTCAAAGTTTCGTCATGTATATGGATCCCCGTCCAGGCGAGAAGAATTGTATGACAATATACCAATCACACGTAATGCTCATGATTCTAATTTTTGTGCTGCCAACCCAAAATTTGTTGCCATTGTGACAGAAGTAGCTGGTGGTGGAGCATTTGTAGTTTTACCAATCAATAAGGTACCTTATATTAACTAATAATAGTCGAGATAATGTTATATAAGTTATTTTTCATGCATGTTTGGTTTTAGACTGGCCGTTTAGATTTAAATACCAGCAAAGTTACTGGTCATAGAGGTCCAGTTTTGGATGTAAAATGGAATCCATTCAATGATAACATAATTGCTTCTTGTTCTGATGATTGTACTGTAAGTCATATGTATTATGTATCATACAATTTGTTTTCATTTATTCAAAATGCAAAATTTCAATTTTTTTCTCATTAATATTTTATAGATTAAATTGTGGTATATCCCAGACAGCGGTCTAAGTTGCAACTTGAATGAATGGCTGATAGAGTTAAGCGGACATCGTCGGAGAGTGGGTTACATTGAATGGCATCCAACTGCAGAAAATGTCATAGCTAGCTCTGGTTATGATTACATGGTAAGAAAGAATGTTAACAATATTTATTAAAAAAAAATTAATTTATAAAATAATAGATACAGTTCTTCTATACTATAGTTGATACTATTATACAGACAGCAACTTCTCTCATGCGGCTCACATCTTAACTTTTTTTCTAAAATTTTATAATTATAGGTATTGCCTATTCCTTTTCCTGGTCTTCATATTATTTATCTTTGTATACATGGCTTGCAACTCTTGTCCACCACTGCTATAATATATTATGTATAATATAATATTATAACATCAATAAATGTCATAGGTACTTAAATATTTTATAAGTTTTTGCAATTTTTTTTTTTATTGTATAAAAAAAAGAAAACTGTAAAAATAAAATTAATGAAATTCTCAAAAATGTATTATGTATCAATAGTTTGTATATTGACTTAGTAAACAAAAATGATCCCTATTTTTAATCTTAACTATTCCTATTTATATATTAGGTTATGTTATGGGATGCAGGAACTGGTCAAATTTTGAATACAATTGATTGCCATCCAGACATTGTGTATTCATTAACATTTAATAGAGATGGTACCAGATTAGCAACAACTTGCAAAGACAAAAAAGTTAGATCAATTGATCCTAGATCTGGATTAGTAGTTTCAGTAAGTAAATTTGTTATAATATTCTTACAATAACAATTTATATATAGGTGTTAATGTGTTATGTATAAAATAGTCATATCTTCTACCTAATTAATTTTTTTACTATTCAGGAGGGAATTTGTCATGAAGGGTCACGTTCGTGTAAGGTAATTTATTTAGATAATGAGCGGTTATTGACCACAGGTTTTTCAACATATTCAGACAGGCAGATAGCTATTTGGAATCATACTGATTTATCAGAACCTTTGCATCGTGTCAATATTGACTCATCATCAGGAATCTTATTCCCGTACTATGACTATGACACGAGAATGGTTTACTTAGCTGGAAAAGTTAGTTTGGATATAGCTTTATTTTCATATAGTTATTATTTATTTTGTTTGACCAAAATGTGTGTGATATGTTTTAGGGTGATGGCAATATAAGATATTATGAAATAGTTGACGAATCACCATATATACATTTTTTAAATCAATTTATATCTGGTTGTCCACAGGTTGGTTATATTTTAAGTTTAAATGAATGTTAACCATAGCGTTTTATATTTATTTTAAAATTAAAAATTTATAAAATTATTTTGTTTTTAGAAAGGATTTGGAATGATGCTTAAACGTGGCTGTAATGTGAGTCGTTGTGAAATTATGCGGTTTTATAAATTACATACTACTCGAAATGTCTGTGAACCGATTTCAATGATTGTTCCAAGAAAGGTTAGATAATAATATAAATTTAGTTTTTTTTCAAATACTAAATCTTTGAGATGTCTAATATATATTTTATCTATATTTATTATGTATATGATAAATGATTTATAGTGACATTGCATTTTTAATTTTAAAAAAACTTTAAAAAACCTCACAAGTCCCTGATATCAGTAATTACTTTAAAATAAATTGAAATTAGGTTATGTTGAAAAATATTGCATTAAATGTATATTTTATAAGATTTTGTACACATTTGTGGGATTGTAAGTGTTTTTTTGTTTTTATATTAATTTAATTCTAAATTATACTGTATTCTATTGAATTTTAATATTATTTGATTTCTTTCTGATATTTAAGGATAACAATTTTGATAATATTAAAAATTGAAAGAATGTAAATGACATCCTATTTTACTATTTTTTTATAATTTAATTTAGAGTGACCAATATCAACATGACCTGTATCCTGACACTGCTGCTCCAGTACCAGCATTGAGTGCCCAAGAATGGTTTAATGGAATCAACAAATCGCCAGTTTTAATGTCAATGAAAACAGGTAGGTAATTGCCTTCTTGTATAAAACTAAACAATTGTTGTATAATAATAATATATAAATAGGAGTATCAGTGAAAACACATAAGCCTCAAGCATTCGTTTCCAATGAAGCGACTCGCAATGACACCAATTATCGTATGAAATTTGCCTTCCTCTCCAAGGAAACAGTGCCTGATTATCGACCACTAGATGTAAACAACAATTTCAATTTTGTTGATTTACGGCTAATTGGCCAAACGTTATAACTTATTTTAATTGTACAGATGTTGCCAGAGATTGAAAAGATCCAAAAGACTCAAGTTAATCAAAACACAAGATTTCAACAAATACAACAGAAATTGAGTAATTCATTAGTAGGAAAATTCACTAACATGGTAAGCTTAAAAATAAATATATATATTTGAGTTTAACAGTGGTATAAAGTATTATTGGATATTTTCTGAATACAATTAGTGTGTGAACCTCAATTGTAACATTGTTGTTTTATAGTTAATGTTTAATTTTGAAATTGATTAATTTTAGACTGATGGTGATGAAGAGTGTAATAATATGAAGGAAAACTCAAATTACAATGATAATTTGAAAAACGAATATCAAGTTGGTATTAAGATTAAATATCTATTTGGAGAATAAATGCAGATACTAAGTTCCCAAGCAATGTTTAGAATTTCAAAGCATTTTTTTGCTATAGAAAATATATTTTTAATATCATCACCAAATATACAAACATTTGAAGTAATCATTTTAATTTCCACAATTTTAACTCAAACCGAAAATTACTTTTTTGTGATTTATACATACCATGTCATATTTATGAATTATAGGTAAGTTAATAAACATTTGCTGGGAGTATATGTGCATTTATGACCCTTTTGGTTTTTATACGAGATTAGATGAAATAAATACAAATATTAATTTATTATAAAATTGTAATTTTAGATGAAAAAAGCTTTCACTCGTCAATGTGAAGAACTAAACATGCTCAGAAAGCAATTGGCCCACAGAGATCGACGCATTCAAGACCTCGAAGATCTCGTTTCCTCACTTCAATCGCAACTTAAGGTTCAAAGATTGCAGTAATCAGTAGATTATTACCGGGTGCAATTTTCTCACTCTAATGTCTATATATATTTTTTATATTACTTTTGAGCTTATGCCTTTTGGCTAAAAGTTTGGCCCAAAGATTATGAAACCTACTTGAGTAATAATTAATCAAATAAGCTTTGAAGCTTTGAGCTGCAACTGTTTTTAAACTAAGAACTAAATTCAGGGTTGAAACCAAATGTTTGGAGGAAAAAATACAATTCTTTTTTGCACCCTACTACTTCTGTGATCAAATAATAATTTTGTAATTTTGCATAACCTATAATTTTTTTTAAAATTAGGTTACCATTTATATATTTTGGTTAAGCGATGTATGTTTTTGCTAGTAATTGAGTGTAGTTATTTTTTATTATAAGTTATAATGCAAATAAATTGAGGTATCATATCAAATAAGAAAAATTATTTCTTAAAAATAAAATATATAAAAGAGATAATGTTACAGTGAAATCTGATTGATTGTGTATTTGAAGTCCAAAAAAATCAGTCAATATTATTTATTTAGTTATTTTCAAAGACTTTATTTGACTTTATTTAACTTTAAGGACAATTATTAATTTACCAGCAGTTAAACATTTTTCGTGATGTCCTTACGTTTTTTGGGGACTGTTAGCAAAAATCAAATCATTATGTCATATTATGTATTATCATACATTTTGTTTTGCTTTATTATATTGTTCGAGGAATAAACAAAATTATAATTTACTGCTACATTAAACATAAGATGTATTTTCTCTGCCTATGTGCAAGTTGGACGTTGGACGTACTGTCAATCATTTTGATTAATATCAAACACAATTATTTTATATCACATTGACCAACAAATTGATTATCTAATATGGACTGAACAAATACAAAACATATGCTCCAATAATTACAAATAATGCTACTATACAGAAATCTAAGTATATAGCATAAACTGATGTATATTATTTTAATATTATATTTAAATTTGTCTTAAAATGCTACAAAATAAATACAGCTTGTGCTGTAACGCTTTAATGAGATTCTACTGCTTGTGTTTTGTGTTTTAGAAAAATATTTGATTTTTTTAAAATAATATAGAGATGAATTTCAGATACATTTTTCTGGCCGGCAATTCTGTTTTTAATATAATAGATTACATACATTTTATATTGCGTTGTTTGAATTGTAATAAGTCTATAAAACTATATAATATGCACAGTCAGGTTAGGCAAAGTCGCTGCCGATGTATTTTACATAATACTATATGAAACTACTGATTGCTACATTTGAAAAAAATGTATCTTTAAGTTCTGAAATATAATATAAAACCCTATTTTATATTATATTGCCTTAATAAATGTGTATATTTTTTACAAACATGAAATTTTGTCTCGCCTGACTCGCTATCAAAATTTTGTTTAATATGCCATTATTTATTTTTGTGAAATTTATTGTAACCGTTACATGAATTTAATACGGTGAATTGATTATGTATACATGAGTTTAATACAATATCGTGCTTTAATTTATTTATTTTCTTGCGGTTTTAGATGTTTATTGATAGAAACATTTTAAAATATTATGTATCAATTTAATTTGTATGAAAGTTAATTGGTTATTAAAATGTTAATCGTTAACATGTTTTATAAATTGTTTGATATAGTCGACTTTATGGGTCACCTTAAAATATTGTTCATTGTTTGGTTCTTTCGATAAAAGTTATGTGGACATTCTACTGTCTCTAAAACCGCACGGAAACAAGTGATGGGGATGTGCATATTTTATTTTATGATTAAATGATTAAGTTTTTTAGTTTGACAGTTATTAAGTTTTATTTTTTATTATTTTGCCTACATAAGACAAAGTCATCCACTTAAGTTGTATATCATTATGTTCATACAGTCTATTAATGTTTTCTTGTATAATTAATTGATTTGATTAATAAACAATTTTTATATGTACTACGTAAAAGAGGTAGTATCTGAGGATGTTAATACTTTATATTAACATGATTTTTATTTGTTTTTAATTTTTTTATTGTGTTAAAATATGTTCAATGTTGTACTCACATTCCCATCAATCGAATATTATACGCTTTGAACAAATAAATAAATAGTTTGTACCTGTTTTTGATGTTTCGCTACTATAAGCTACATTTTTTTTTTTTTACATTTATATTAAAATATTAAATGAAACATTAATATATATTTTTAATTTCTGCTTATATAGTTATATATATGTGTAGAACATAAATGTGTGTGTATGTCATACTGTTGTTTACCACTACAAATTAAATTCTTTTAATTTCAAACTATGTGCCCAAAAAAAGAATTGGAAAATCCAAGAATCCATCTTTCCTCTTCCTAACTGAAAACTTAATTGTTTTTCACTTTTATGGTTGTATGTAAAAAATATTTGTACGATATGAATATGAACATCATTATCATTTTTGGGAACTCTAACTATTAAGTTTTAAATTGATTTTTTTTATAGTTTATCACTTTCAAATTACATTCATAAGTTAACATAAAACTATGTCCAAATGTGCTCATTTACCCTTTAAAGCATTACAAATATGGAATAAAAGTACAAAAAAATATAGTTTGGCAATTGAATATTATACACTGAATTTCAAAAACATCATGTAGACGTAAAGCGATCACTTCAAATCAGCTTTAGTCTTGACCAATGATTAAGCCCCAATAAACTTTAACCCACTATATTTGGTCCGTCATAAATTCAGAACTTAGCATTTAATTTTACATAAATTATAGCATACTATAATATTGTATTATAATTATTAGACTGGAATTATATTATGCATTTGTATGTTCATTCAAGCATGAGGGTTTGAAATCGCACTATAAATAGATAAATGAACTATTTTCTTTTTCCAAATCTACATAATAGCACAATAATTAACAATAAAAATTGTAGAAAAGAGAAAATAAAATATTTCTCAACTTGGAAAAATATTGTTATGTAGGTTCATGTTTGTAACACTTAATTATATCTGTGCGGTATACAAATCGTACATAATCATATAATACAATCCACTTAAAAATGCCAACACTACATGAGACTCGCTTGTGATAATGCGAGCAATATAACTATATCAGATAGGCAATCCACCTGTGGAGGATTGCGGACCTCGCAACTCAGTCACCTTGGTAGGAAATGTGCAAAAATTTGATTTGATGCATGCTTCGATTAACCGATAGCAACCAATATACAAAAAAAATACTTATTTACTACTATTTCTCCCATAACCGAAAGCAATCATTTATAAGCAAAAATTTCCTTCGTAAATCTCTAAATTCCTTTTGAGCTATTCACTTCTTTTTACCGACTGAGCTCAATTGTTAACCTTAATCATCCAGGGAACCACTCAAACAATTTCATCAAAAACAGTCCAGCCGTTTAAGCAGGTATAAGAGACAGACAAACATTCATTCATATGTATATATGTACATAAAAAAAAATTGAATGGAATTAAGGACACAATTTTAAATACTTACAATTAGATAATATTTTGAATGTTTTTGTGTATTTTTACTCCACACGTTTGCATCAAACTATTAGCACTTCTTCAGATAATTTATTTCAGTCTCTAATTATTATAACACCTTATTAATTGAAAGTTCAAAAATTAAAGAAATTGAGGTGATTAATATTCTATTGGGTAAAACAAAATTGTAATTTACGAAAATATGAGTATTATTATCTAATAGGTGTTTTTCAACAATGGACAAGAAATAGAATTTCAATGGGTAACTATTTTGGGCCAGAATCTTTACCGTGGTAACCAACGACAGTTACTAGAGTGCATAAAAATAAAAAGAATTAACACCAAAATAATATTATATATACTTTTGAAAAATTTATTTAAATTTTTCAAAGTATTCTTTACAATACTGGGTAATGACGAGGATTTGAAACAATAAATGAACATCAAATACTTTAATACTGAATTATTTTTTTAAACAGAAACTGTTTTTATTGTTATTACATTATTAAGTTTACAAAATTGACATTACTGCGTTTGAGGTATACATAAATAATAATGTTGTACTGATAATAAATTCAGCGGGTTAAACACTAAAAGTCTAAAACGTAAAATATAAGTGGGAAATAAGAGTTTAAAACACTATTGTAAAAAAGATGATTCTTTTTAAATGAATATTTATTAATTTTAACTTGAGGTTGAGTTAGAGAAAATGTTTTGAACAGAAACAATAAATAAAAACACAGAGTGTTAATATTAAGGTTAATTTAAAATTAAGCTGTGTAACAGTATATGATAAACAGATGTTAATGTTATGTAGTAAATTAATAAAACACTAATCGTAAGTATTAAAAAAATATATCACTTGATTTGAGGGGCGTATTTGTTCATACATAAATATGATGGTGATGACAATGATAATGATAATGAAAAACAGTGTAAATCGCCAATGTACTCATATATACAAGTACAAGTGATAAGTTGTTGAAAATGTAAATTAAAATAAAAATACAAACAAAATGTTGCAATCTGTATTAATTATTAGTCTAAATAAGATACTTATTTTAAAATTGGTTTTTCGAAAATGAAAGTATATATCTAACAGTGCACATTCAGGGAAGATCATTTTCTATTTTTTTCTTTTGTTTTTGGTGCGTTGCCGAGGAATGTCAGTTGTGGTTCCAAATTCACCATTGGTTGCAGAACCCGGCACTGGATGTTGATAAAATGAACTCAAGAATTCGTCTAGGTGTGGTTGATGAAAACTGCAAGCAAAAAAAAAAATTATGGTTCGGTCATTAATTCTACTAGTCACCGGGTTTACCATATTATGATACATACTCAAATAAGGGCGTTGAAGGTGGTGGCGGTGCTTGTGTTCTGGGTTGTGGGGGTGGTGATGGGGAAACCGTTGGCTCGGGAGTTTGTTGTTTGCCACCAAATATAATTCTGTACTGTACAGAATGAGTATCTGCTCGCATGTGCTTCAGACTGCCGTGCTGACAAGTAGCCCATTCAGTGATGTCATAAACTCCGCCGTCCATACATCCAAAGTACTTCCAGCGCAAACCAAACATACTACTTTCTGACCAAATGTCACCATCACGAGCAGAATGATGTACATTGCACAATGCACAGAAACGTGCAGCGTACATTGGCCGACACAACACCAGTTTCCTTCTGTGCCGTTTACCACAGCTAGTACACCTGAAAAAACATAATTCATAAACTAACACAAGAATATCAATTTTAATAAAAATATTCAATCTAATAAAACTAGATAAATGTTACAAATCTAGAAATAAATGAAATTTACTTTCACACTATCATAGAATTTAAGTTTGATGAACTTAGAATACCCTCTACCAAAAGTTAATTTTCAAATGTTATTATTTTAAATACCTAATTGTATTTGCAACTTGTGCCATTTTTTCATGAAGATTTTTCAACAATTTGTTTAGTTCATCGTAATTTTCTTTAATGTGCTCAATACCACTATCATAGAGTTTACGTTTCTCCTATGAATATAAAAGATTAAAATACAATTAATGAAAACACAAAATAAAAATATTTTTTTTAGAGCAGTCCTTAAATAAAAACAACTTACTGGATCACCTATCATGTTGAAAGCATGAATTAAAATTTTAAAAGCTTCTTCAGCTCCGGATTGATTGTTTTTGTCTGGATGAACAAGAACAGCTTGTCTCTTGTAATACTTTTTGATATCATCTTCCGATGAATCAACAGTAACACCCAAAATACTAAATGTAAAAATTGGGTTATCACATGAGATACCGAAATAGTTTATTTTACATTACTGAAATTACCTGTACGGATCTTTTCCTTTGCAAGCAAGTAGCCTTTTAAGTGCTTCTTCACCAGTAGTAGGCAGTGGAATATTTGTTTGTAGAGTGTTGCCAGAATTCTGATCTTTCCATTTGACTCGAGCCCAATGTGATGCACCTGTAAACGGAGAGCTCAATCCAATCCAAAAATGCTTCCAACAGTTCTTACTAAAATCGGCCAGTTGAGTAATACCTGATGCAGATCTATATAATAAAATATATAATATTAATCATCAAATATTAAATAAATGTATTTTTTGGTAAACAGTCACTTAAAGATTATGCCTATTATAAAATTTAAGAATGCAGACACTTAGTTCAGCAAGTTAAAAATGTAGTCTGCAAAATAGTTTTTATGGTTTAGACAAAATATTGATTGCTGAGCACAGATAGATTTGAAATCCATTAATTTTGTTTTATTTTGATTTGTAAGGATAATCTAATATTTTTTGGGTGTTTTCTTAAAAATCAGAAAAAAATGGACAAGTAGGTAGTGCAATGCTGACAAAAGTTGTGCAGTATGGTATTATAAATTATAATGTATGTGTTAGATTGGACCAAAAATGATTCTGAGCGATGACGGTGTATTATCTCAGCATTATGTATAAATATTCAAATTTAATAATTAAAAATCGCTGAATATCAAATTCATTAAACAATTTTAAATCAATATTAAATAGATAATTTTCCCATCAAAATCATACAAAAATTGTTGTCTCTGCTTAACTATTTATGAATGAACAGACAATTTGAAGTCTATGCAATTTATAATTTAATTTCAAACAACTTAGTTTAATATTTTCACCTCCTATATTAAATTAGTACAAGCTGTTCTGTGTTCAGAACAAGTAATGTAATTTTCTTAGACCTGAGCGATTATTATTTGATACAACCGATCATCAATTATAAGTTCTGATCGATATTAACGGTTAATTGGATATCCGATTAATCAATCAGTTTATTTCAAAATAATCTAATAATTGCATAACGTATTGAGGTTATAAGTATATTTTAACTTCAGTTTTACCTCCCTGATTAAAGTGTGATAACTTATGAAATACATAATAACTGATTAATAATTATTTTTATTTGTTGGTTGATCAATTTAATCGTAATAATAACAATTAATCAATGTATTTAACTATTGCAAAATCACCAATAAATTATATGAATAACTGATTAATTGTTACAGACGGGCCAGCCTAAATGTTCTAAAGTTTGTTTTTTTACCATACTGTACAAAATACCTGCATTCTTCATATATTTCAAAGAAGATCATACAAAGTGACTTAGAACCTGATTTTAGTGCTTAATAGTAGTTAACTCACAAATGTAAAAGTAAATGTAAGCTCATAGT